TGACCCCACTATTGAGACTAGAAAATGAGACCTATTGATAAGGATCAGCGTGTTCCAAATATTCCAACTAGACCTATTACACGATCCAAGGCAAAGAAGATTCAACAAGCATTCATTTTTTATCTACAAAATTGAATAGGCTCGGTTCAACCATCATTTCATGTGTTACAAGTTGATTCGATTGAGGAAGAACCATTTGGAGGTTCAGAAGTAGTGGATAAAGTTACCAACATCATTTCATGAGTTGTTAGAAAACTTCCGTTATTATTTTTTAATTTAATAATTCTTGTAATGGGCAAAAAAGTGTAAGTTATTTGTCAAATTGACTCCGCCTTTTGTGACATTTAAGAGGATCAAGATTAAATCATGGCCAATAACTTATTTAGTGGACATTTGAAGAATTGAAAGTTTCTTTTATGGGGAGAAATTGATCTCTAAAGGGAGACTTTCCCCCTTAGAAATACGAGCATCTTTGTCATTTTTAAGTTTCATGCAATTCTTGTAGTAAATTGCATCTGAGTTCATTGTGGCGTGACTCAATTTATAACAAGGTTCCAAATCGCAATTCTTGTGGTAGATTACATATGAGTCATTCAATTAAGTCGTGATCAAGTTCATTATGGAGTGACTCAATTTATAACAAGGTCCCAAATCTTTCTTGTAGATCTTCGATCTTAAAGGTAATGTAATTCAAGACTTATCTCTTGGTTAATCCGAATTTTGTATAAGGAGGTGTTAATTTCTTTGATTTAAGAGTTATTGCTTCAACAAAAGCTTGGATTGTTGAGCTGAACGATTAGGGTTGCCTTATCGATTTGGTATCAAAGCCTAGGTTGCATCTGTGTGGCCTACTCCAGAATTTATTTTATCTTTCATTTATTCTATTGTTTATCTTTTCTTCAAATCTGTCCATTTATTTTCTTGGTGTCATTTTCATTTCTTTTTTATCTTCTCACTTTGTTCTCATATTCTTTATACGGATCATATTTAGATCTTGAATAAAAAAAGAAATTTTTATCATATTTGTTCTTTGATGGTGTGGTTATAAATGCTTATCATTAGACAATTTGCATGATTATTTAAAGATCAAATAAACTTCAATTTAGATTTTTCCTAAACCATCTAAATCTGGAACGGTTGTGTTTGATATTGTTCTTTCATAATTAAACTCGAAGATAACTGTTAAATTTGTAGGTATTCAGTAAAAAGGAAAGTAGATCATTCTCTTATATTTTAAATTAAGAATGAAATTATGTCAACAAATTCATTTTCAGTGTACAATTTTACCAATAAAAAAAAAAAAAAAATTGTCCTTTATTTGTTTGATCCTTTTTTATTTTTTTTTTTTGTTATTTCCTAATTAACTTAGGTTGATTGCCTTGAATAGCTCCTTGCTACCAGAATTGTTTTATCCATATATTAGCCTATCTTGATCATAATTTAGTCCCTTCCCCAAATAGCTACTTTTGTGTATAATAAACATAGAGTGTTCCTGAGTGTAAAATCAGTGAGTCGAGTGTGTGAGATCCTAAGCATATTTAATACTTTTTGTACCATCATGAACCAAGACGAGGGAAATGGAGGGAAGATCAATGAGTTAGTTGAAGCAGAAGAAAGAGGAGGAATTGGAAAATGCGAGTCATTTGACCCTTATTACAAGAGAACTTAAAACTCGAGTTACGGAGAATGATGTTGATGATTAAAGAGACCACCTATTTCACGCGCGGTGTTTAGTCAAGGGGACTCCTTATATTCTTGTCATTGATAGTGGAAGTTACACCAATGTAGTAAGTATCATGTTGATCAAAAGGTTGCAAATTCTAACCCAACACCATCCTAAACCTTACAAACTTCAATGACTCAATAATAGCGGAACAATGAAGGTAATTTCCCAAGCTTTAATCTATTTTACTTTGTTAAAATATAAAGATGCAGTTCTTTGGGTGATGGTGTTACTATAACACGTGTGGAAGTAATTTGGATTTTAGGCACTCTAAGTACTATTAGTTAGCATCTTCAAAAGCATTAAAACTCAATGAGTTTGAATACGTCTTTGGTAGTTCAAATTCTTTTTTCCTCACGAACCGATTTCGAACCACCACTAGTGTCTTTCCTACTATTCTTCGGCCTTAGAACGGGATGGTGGAATCCGGTGAGTGACTAAACTTGACCGGAATTTAGTATATGTAAAGAGAGAGTTTTGAGAGATTTTATCAAAGTTTTTCAAGAAGAATTTACATGTACCTTGATCACTCTATTTATAGAGTCATATTTGCATGTTCATGCAAATGTGAGATTACCAAATTTTGACACTCAAAATTCCACTCAAATTTGTGGGATTATGTGACAAATATACAAGTTTGGTTAAACCATATATTCACTCAATATTCCACTAACTCAAATATGAATTTTTCCATTAGGTGGAGTAAACAATTTGACTTTCTCCATTTTAATTCAACAATTAATTTAAATAATTAATTTCAAATTAAAACAATATTAAATGATTAATTAAACAATTTAATTAATATTTAACATTAATTCAAATGTTAATCTCATTCCATTCCAGCACATATTGATTATGAATCTATTCATAATTAAAATATTTAAATCTTAGTTAAATATCTACAATTCTCTCTTTTTGTTTAATTCGTAATTAAAACAAAATGCGGTTAAATATATCGTATATATGTAGTACATATTCCCTAATTTGAATTCGAACACTTCGAACTCACTCGTTATACTGTTCTAAGGTTTAGTCTGATATGGGCTAGCAGGGGGACCTAATGGACCTATAGATCATGGACTCCAACGATCCGAGATTAATCGGCTAAACTCATTAACCTTGTTAACCAACATTCATTAACTACTAGGACACTCCACTATAGCCTAGTAGTTGCACTCCCCTCACTATAGATATATTTTTGTCCATTTGATATAACCATGATTAGTAAGTCAATTCTTCATAGGTTGTTCGTAACTAGAGTTGAGTCAATTTAGCGTTTTACCCCTAAAGTTACTTCTCGTTCCTTAAGTCTCACTGATTCTCTAATGAACAATTGGTTTGTGGTCCAACCACCAAACCGAATCCCTCTCAGGCCAATGAGAGAGTGGGGCCCTTTGTTCAAGACCTGGAGTCAGTACTTAAGGGAACTACCTCTCTACTATCCCTAAAAGCGGGTAGGAGTGAATTCTATCTTGCACCCTATGTTTCTAGCTATTCACTCAGTCTTACCCCTAAAATGGGAGGCTTATTGAGTCGGCAAACTCGGGCCACTCTCACCTATGCAAATTTAAGATTAAGGTCGAGTTACCTAGGTCATCGAATGAAAAAATCAGTCTCAACAGTAAACGACATTATAAAGTGAGAGTGATTTTCTCCATGGTCCGATCTTATGCAATACTCATTGCATAGGACGCCTCCACTCACATATCTCCACATGTACAATTTAATGATCACATTGTTTATATCATATACAAAGTGAGCCGCATCCATAGTGTCCACAGGATAAGGTACTCAGTCTTATCCCTGTACTATAGATCATTTTGACTATATACTTGAACTTGATCCACTTTTTTATCTCTACATATCGTTCAAGTAATCATACTATAGCCAGAGTGTTCTTAGTTTATTGGATTTAGATTAACGATCGTAAAATTCACTTTATTCAATAATAATCGTTACTGAATAAACATCAATAATAATTTTATTAAAAATAGAATTATGTTCTTTTTACAAACTATTAATTTTAGAACGTAAAACCTAACACTGAGATGTGTTACCAATGCATGCTGGAGATATATTACTTGGCCGACCTTGGCAATTTGATAGGAAGATCATGTATGACGGTTATTTGAATAGATATTCTTTTATAAAAGATTATAGAAAACCTACTCTTGTACCTTTGAGTTATACAAGTGTATTTGCTGATTAGTTAAAGCTAGAGAAAAGAAAAAAAAAAGAGTTGAAACAAAATTGAAAGAAAAACAAGAATTGAGTTAAAAGTTAGAGAAAAATCAAAGAGTAAAAAATAGTGAAAAGAAAATGAAAAAAGAGTTGAAATTGAAAAAAAAAAAAAAATGTGAGTTGTTTCACTACAGTTGTAGTGGGGAGAATGACACTATTTTCACAAAATACTATCTTTGTACTTATGTACAACTGAGAATTTTTAGTCTCTAACTATAACAACTTTGTTTTATCTAGTGTTTTTCAATCTCTTTTACACGAATTTTAGGACGTGTTTCATGATGAAGTACCTAAATGACTATCTCTCATTAGAAAAATTGAACATCAAATAGACTTCATTTTGGGGGCTATCATTCCTAATAAGCCAGCTTATAAAGTTAATCCAACTGAGACCAAGGAAATTCAAAGGCAAGTGGAGGAGCTTATGAATAAGGGCTATATACGAGAAAGTTTGAGTCCATGTTCTGTATGAGTCTTATTGGTGCCAAAGAAAGATGAAACTTGCCGCATGTGCATGGATTGTAGAGCCATCAACAAAATCACTGTAATGTATCGACATCCTATTCCTAGGCTAGACAATATGTTTGATGAATAGCATAATTCATGTCTATGTATAAAGATTGTTTTGAAATATGTATATCATCAAATTAGAATGCATATAGGAGATGAATAGAAAATAACTTTCAAAACTAAGTTTGGATTGTATGAATGGTTTGTTATGTCTTTTGGGTTAACTAATGCTTGTAGGACATTCATGCACTTAATATATAATGTTTTGAGGAAATATCTGGAAAAACATGTTGTTGTGTATATGGATGATATTTTAATTTATTTGAAGACTTTGTTTGAGCATGTGGAGCATGTTAATTTAGTTTTGATTATGCATAGAAAAAAATTTATATGCTAATTTTAATAAGGGTAGTTTTTTTATGGAAAAAGTTAACTTTCTTAGCTTCATAGTTGGTAAAAATGGAGTAGAAGTAGATGAAGAGAAAGTTAAAGCAATTAAGGATTGACTAACACATAAAAATGCAAGTGAAGTTCATAGTTTTCATGGGTTAGCAGCTTCTATAGGAGACTATAAAAGATTTGAGCATCATAGCTACACCATTGAATGACTGAGTGAAAAATAATGTTGTTTTTAAATGGGGGATATGCAAGAGAATTTATTAAATAAGCTTACGAAGAAATTATCCAATGCACCATTACTTATCTTGCCTAACTTTGATAAAACTTTTCAAATTGAGTGTGATGCAAGTGTTTGGGCATAGGAGATATTTTGATACAAGATGGAAAACCCTTAATGTATTACTTTTCACATTAAGTGTGATGCAAGTGGTCTGGGCATAGGAGCTATTTTGATACAAGCTGAAAATCCCTTAATGTATTTTAGTGAAAAAGTAAATGGGGTAACATTGAACTATCTTACCTATGATAAAAAAAAAAAAAAAAAAAAAAAAAAATTGTTTGCTTTAGTTCATAGATTGTAGGTATCAACACTACTTATGGCCTAAAGAATTTGTAATCTACTTCGATCGTGAAAGTTGAAGTATCTTAAGGGTCAAAGCAAACTGAACCATAGACATGCAAAGAGGGTGAAGTTTATTGAAACATTTTCATAATCATCAAATATAAGCAAAGTAAGGATAATATTGGTAGCTCATGCGTTATCTAAAAGGTATGATATTATTACTTCTCTGAGTGCAAATTCTTGGATTTGAGCATATTAAAGAATTATATAGAGATGACCAAGACTTTATAACTATTTATGCATCTTGTCTTGCGAAAAAAGTTGTGGATGATTTCTATGGATATTGTTTTTTGGTCGAAGAAGAAGCACGATGTTCATAAGTTTTGTAGTCAATGTTTTAAATGTAAATAAGCTAAATCTAGGTCACAACCAAATGGATTGTATACCCCTTTTAATGTACCTAACGAACCTTGGACTAATATATCTATGAATATTATTGTTCTTGGTTTGCCGTGCACAAAAAAAAGTAAAGATAGTATTCTTGTTGTGATAGACAAATTTAGTAAAATGCCTCGTTTTATTGCATGCAACAAGATGGATGATGCAAAACATGTTGCTGACTTATTCTTTTAAGAAGTAGTAAGATTACATGGAAGCCCTAGAATAATTGTTAGTGATACTGATGTTAAATTTTGAAGTCATTTTTGAAAAGTATTGTCCGGTAAAATGGGTACCAAGTTGTCTTGAACTACATGTCATACTCATACCGGTGGGTAAACTAAGGTGGTTAATAGAACTTTAGGGGCATTGTTTAGGGCTATTATTTCTAAGAATGTTAAGTCTTGGGACGAATGTTTGCCATTTGTAGAGTTTGCATATAATAGAACAATTTATACTATCATTCATTGTTCTTCTTTTGAATTTGATCCACTTATGCTTCTTAATTTGCTTCCTATTTCTTCTAATATTTTTGTGAGTGAAGCTGCAACAAGTAAGACAGATTTCATCATTGCACAAAAAGGTGAAGGAGAAAAATTTGAAATAAAATTTCAAAGTTGTTTCAAGAATTAACAAAGGACGGAAGGAAATCATTTTTCAATCTAATGACTGGGTTTGGATACATTTTTGCAAGGAGTGATTCTTATCTCAAATGAAAATAAAGTTAAATCCTAGAGGGGATGACCCCTTGGAAGAATTAGTACCAATGCATATAAAATTGATCTTCTCGTAGAATTTTCAGTTTATTCTACTTTCAATGACCCTTATCAATTCCTTGGAAGAATTAGTAACAATGCATATAAAATTAACCTTCCCGTAGAATTTTAAGTATATTCTACTTTCAATGTTGCTGACTTGAGTCTTTTTGTTGTAGGTGATGATTTTTCTCAGTTGAGGATGAATTCTTTTGAAGAGGGGGAAGATAATAAGGATCACAGTGTTCCAAATGTTCAAATTGAACCTATTACACGAAGGCCAAAAAGATTCAACCAGCATTCATTTTCATCTATAAAATTGGATAGGCTTTGTTCAACCATCATTTCATGTGTTATAAGATTTGATTGAGGAAGAACCATTTGGAACTTCAGAAGTGAATATTTGCACAGTTGAAGTAACGGATGGAATTGCAATCATCATTTTCTGAGTTGTTAGAAAATTTTAGTTATTAGTTTTTAATTTAATAATTTTTGTAATGGGCAAAAGGATGGAAGTTATTTGTCAAATTGACTTTCGTCTTTTGTTGAGATTAAAGGGGATTGAGATTAAATCATGACCACTGACTTCTTTAGTGGGCAATCAAGGATTGAAGGTTTCTTTTGTGGGAGACTATAAATACCCACAAATTATTATATAATAAATCAGATTTGTGATGAATGAAATTGATCTCTCAAGTTGAGACTTGCTCCCTTAGAAATCTGAGCATCATCTTTGTTATTTCTAAGTTTTAGCTCCCTTAGAAATCCGAGCATCATCTTTGTTATTTCTAAGTTTTATGCAATTCTTGTGGTAGATTGCATCTGATCAATTCAATCAAGTCGTGATGAAGTTCAATTGTGGAGTGCCTCAATTTAGAACAAGGTTCCAAATCTTGCTTCTAGATCTTCAATCCTAAGAGGTAATCTAATTCTAGTCTTATCTCTTGGTTGATCTGAATATTATATAAGAAAGTGTTAATTTCTTTGATTCAACGGTTCTTGCTTCAACAAAAGTTTGGATCGTTGAGCTAACGATTATGGTTGCCTTATCACCTATTATTTTAAAGTTGTATTCCCTTACGTGACTATCCTAAATGGGTCATTGAATGTATTTACTACTACACACGACCCATATATGCGAATATTAACCCACTAGTTGGTTCACACACCTCTTGTGCTTCTTTCCTAGTTGGGCTAACATTCTCTGGTACTATTGTTGGACACTCAGTAGGAGTAGTGACCGTCGTAGCATCATCATAAATATAATGATTCATTTTTCTTTTTGTAATGTATGTGTCCATACTCATAAAGGTGATAGTTTCCCGATGGATGTAACATACAATAATGCATGAGGTCCCATCATTTTTCACATTTATTAAACCACGTAAAACAACCTCTTCCATTTTCCTTCATATCATATCATTTTATTACATAACCTTTAAAAAATATATTAAGATTGTATATCAGGTCAAAACATATTTATTGTGTATCATTCATGTCATACATCGTATTATATTATATCTTACACATAACATGTCCTTCAACCTAACATATTATATCATATACATAACATGTTCTTCAACATAACATATCATATCATGCATGTATTAAATCATAAACCATATCATATATGTATCATATTGTTAAATATATCATATCATCAACATATCATTTCATAAAGATCTCACACATATCAAACATATGTGTGAGATTAGTAATAAACATATATATTATTAAGGATATTTAGTAATAAATTATAGTTTACCATATATATTATATTTGATATTTTATTATAAGGCAAATATCTAATATTTGCCTTATTATCATAGGTATCCTTCCCTTTATTGTTATTTCCATTTATTACTATTTCCATATCCTTGTAATTTATTTGATTATAAATAAGACAACTTTCACACCATTTAGGTGTGGTGGATTAATCAAACATTCACATGGTATCAGAGCCCTTTCGGTTTAACATCACACCATTTAGGTGTGGTGGATTAATCAAACATTCACATGGTATCAGAGCCCTTTCGGTTTAACAACCCACCATTTAGGTGTGGTGGATTAATCAAACATTCACATGGTATCAGAGCCCTTTCGGTTTAACAACCCTGATCCTTTCTTTTCAATAGCTTTTGAATCCTCTAATCTTCTTCTCCACCACCCCTGCTGGTTTTGACGCCGCAGGGGCAGTCTTCATGGCTGCCGTAGTTGGAGCAGATTGATNACTCTTCGGCTCTACCCTATTGACCTCCAAATCACCTTTCGTCATACTCTGTACATACAACCTTACCTTTTCCAACCAAATCGGTTTTCCCTTTGGCCAATATAGTCTCTCTCATTTTCTTCCCAATCAACCTTCATTCTTCACATAAACCCTAACCTAAACCTATCAACCTTTTGCAGAGATTTACTTTCGGAATCTGGGTGCTGCACTGGCCTATTCGCCAACCAAGTTGCCGCCGTCCTTCCTGCCAAAATTGGCTCCTTCGCCCGATGAGGCGACTCTTCCGACTGCCCTTCTCGCCAAAATTGGCTCCTTCGCCCAATGTGGCGACTCTTCCGGCTTCAACATTGTCTTTGTCCCTTGCTCTAGGTTTCCCCTTCTACTTCTTGGGGTTAGAAATATTCTCACCAGAGCCAAGGCAGCATCGTCGCTAAGCGACAATCCCTCTTCATGGGTTAGACATATTCTCGCCGAAGCCAAGGCAGCATTGCCGCTGAGCGGCGATCCCTCTGCAAATTTTTGATGGCCAAGAACCGGGTTGTTAGTATCTTCATGAAAAGTGTTTCTCAACCTCTTTGAATTTTTCAGATTCAAGCTTCACGGTCGTTTAAATCCGACGCTTAGCTTGCGGGGGTGTTAAGGATATTTAGTAATAAATTATAGTTTACCATATATATTATATTTGATATTTTATTATAAGGCAAATATTAATATTTGCCTTATTATATTATATTTGATTATAAATAAGACAACTTTCGGTGGATTAATCAAACATTCACACATATCATATCATGCATGTATTAAATCATAAACCATATCATACATGTATCATATTGTTAAATATAACATATCATCAACATATCATTTCATAAAGATCTCACACATATCAAACATATGACACGTGCAAAGCCACGAAGCACGTGTCATCATACTGAATACAAACTTATAATCATGTCGATAGTAAGACTACTTACTTGAATGACTTTAACTAACGTTCTCTATAAATTTGAATATGCTTGATTTTGACCCCAGGAGTTGTTCCAAATATCTTCGACCCTATTAGAACAATCATTCCATAGAAATTATAGTTTCCCAACTAATTTAACTTGACTTGAATAAAGGGGAGTTATACTAACCTTAATTACC